GACCTCGTGATCCACCCGCCTTGGCTTCCCAAAGTGCTAGGATTACAGGTGTGAGCCACCGTGCCCGGCTTCCTGGAGCTCTTCTTTACCCAGCTTCCCTGAAAAGTGACCAGAGCCCCTGCGTCAGCGCCTGCACCTGTGATAAGGAGTTTTTGCTGCTGAGGCTGTGTCCCCTCTCTCCATCTGGCTCTGGCTGTCCTCATATCAGCTTGCTCTTTGCTGCCAGAGGCAAGGCTTCCTTGTTTCCTGCTAAAGGAGATTGGGTCCCTTCTCCTCACATTTCTGTTCTGAGCTTTCAGTCTCAGAGACCTGCATACCTGTCTCCTCCAAGTCCTGCCCAGACATTCTCTTCTATTTTTTTAGCCCCTTTGGACCTGATTCTCTTTTTCTCTTCCGTTCTTTGTTGTTCTTCCTATTGTTGTCCCTTATAGAAGAGAAGAAAGGTATGTGTTTCTTGAAACGCCTTAATCTGCTGCCTCCATTGTTCTCTCATCTAGCCTCTCTACTTTTTTCCTTAACTGGTGCTGTTCACATTGACAGCTCTCCCTACAGTCCTGCCTACTTATCTCCTCCCCCAGAGTCTAGCTGGCGAAGGTAAGTGTCCAGGGTGGGCAGAAGCTCCTGCCTACTCTCTGACGTGTTTCTGGAGGGAGCTGCCCCTTCTGGGTTGGGGCTAAGGTTTCAACAGTACCTCTTCCTATAACGGCAGAGCTGAGAGAGGAGGAGGCAGGTGGAGTAGGTGGGTCAGAGTCCAGCCTTGGCCATGTTGACACGAGTGGTCAAGCCTCCCAGTCCAGCCAGAGCAGAACCAATGGGAACCGTAGCCAGGCTGGGGTGTGTGTGTAAGGGGGAAGGGAGAATGGCAGAGGGGCAGGTGAAAATGGCAACCTTTTATCAAGGATGGGTGCAAGATGCAGTGCCCTGGCACTTTTAGATTTCTGAAACCCTCCCCTTGTCTATCTTACCCTTAATGCTCATACCCAGAAGAGCTGCTGGGATCCAAGATTCCCATTTAGCTTGCCCTGATAGAGAGAAGTTGAGAAGTTACCAGATCTCTTAGATTGACTGGGGGAGGGGGTCAATCAATAGATACGAGAAGAACCAGAAAGAAAAGGGGATGATCTGGATGCCCAGCCATCTTCACTTCCACCTTGGCTGCCCCACATTTTCCAACCGCTATGCCCACCTTCTTGTCCCTTCCCAGCCTTGTTCCTCATGACTTTGTTTTTCCACCCCAGGACGATGCCCTGGGGCAATTTCCCTGCAGAGAAGGGGCAGTTGTTTCGACTACCATCTGCACTTAACAGGTGATGGCCTTTGCCTTCTTTAGGCCACATCTCCTCTTATCTGTAGTTCCTGGGGCCCTACTCCCTCACCCCCACCCTGTTCCAGCCCAGCTAGTGTTTTCCCTTGCTGGGCAGGGCTTAGGGAATAGGAAGACTGTCACTGGTGCCAGCTCACTGCTCCCCACACAGGACGAGCTCCGACTCTGCCCTTCACACAAGTGTGATGAACCCCAGTCCCCAGGATACCTACCCAGGCTCCACACCTCCCAGCATCCTGCCCATCCGCCGTGTGGGTAAGTGGCTCTGTCCCAGGGTTGGGAGTAACCATGAAGCTATTTAAAGCGGGTAGGCAAGTGAGCACTGCAGCCAACGCCGCTGTCTCCCTTGCAGGTATTCTGGATGGTGAAATGGATCCCAAAGGTATGTGTTCCTCACTGCTGTGGGTACTGAATGCCAAAGAATGTCTGGGCTGGTGTTGGGATTGTGTGCGGATTCAGGGAGCAGGACTCCTTCCCACTGCTTCTGCTTCCTGTCCTGCCTTACTGGCTCTTTCTCCAACTCTCCCATCACCAGTCTTTCTCTTTCAAGTACCTGCTATTGAGGAGAATTTGCTAGATGACAAGCATTTGCTGAAGCCATGGGATGCTAAGAAGGTAGGCGGAGGCCACTGGGTGTCACCCACTCATCTCTCTGCTATCCCTTGCCATGGGGCAGGCCTTCCAGGGTTTTCCACTGAGCACTGTCCTCATTTTCCACATTCTCCCTTCTCTCCTCAGCTGTCCTCATCCTCCTCCCGACCTCGGTCCTGTGAAGTCCCTGGAATTAAGTAAGTACTCCCTGAGGTTGGCTGAGAGGTAGGGGAAGGAAGTACAGGGAGATGTAGGATACTGATCTCTGCTCTTCCCTGACCACTGTACCCCCCTCCTATTTACATCTTTCGTTTTCTCTCCTTCCCCTAGCATCTTTCCATCTCCTGACCAGCCTGCCAATGTGCCTGTCCTCCCACCTGCCATGAACACGGGGGGCTCCCTACCTGACCTCACCAACCTGCACTTTCCCTCACCACTGCCCACCCCCCTGGACCCTGAAGAGACAGCCTACCCTAGCCTGAGTGGGGGCAACAGTACCTCCAATTTGACCCACACCATGACTCACCTGGGTATCAGCGGGGGCATGGGCCTGGGCCCAAGCTATGATGTACCAGGTGAGTGGCTATCCTGGCCATGTGCCCACTGGGTGCTGCCTGGCTGGAGGGATGAAAGGGAGGGAGGCTTGAGCACCTGAGATCCTGCTGTGACCACCCACACTGGCCTGTCACCTCTGCACCCCAGGATTCTCTCATGGCAGTTCTCAGCCAGTGATAACTGGTAGGTGTGGTGTTTCCTAGAAAGAAGAGGAAGGGCAGCCCCCAGATGGGCAGTGTTGTCAGGGATAGGGTAGGGAGAACATTGTGTTGCCACTTTCACAGTCTGGTCACTGCCACACATTCTGGGCAGAAAGGGGCCCAGCTCCCATCAGTAATGTTGGCATATCTGGTTTTTTGTCTGTGCCTGCAGGACTTCATTCACCTGTCAGCCACCCATCCCTGCAGTCCTCCCTAAGCAATCCCAACCTCCAGGCTTCCCTGAGCAGTCCTCAGCCCCAGCTCCAGGGCTCCCACAGCCACCCTTCTCTGCCTGCCTCCTCCTTAGCCCGGCATGCACTGCCCACCACCTCCTTGGGCCACCCCTCACTCAGTGCCCCGGCTCTCTCCTCCTCCTCTTCCTCCTCTTCCACTTCATCCCCTGTTCTGGGTGCCCCCCCTTACCCTGCTTCTACCCCTGGGGCCTCCCCCCGCCACCGCCGTGTGCCCCTCAGCCCCCTGAGTTTGCCCGCGGGCCCAGCCGACGCCAGAAGGTCCCAACAGCAGCTGCCCAAACAGTTTTCGCCAACAATGTCACCCACCTTGTCTTCCATCACTCAGGTATGCGTGGCTGCCTTCCCTGCACGTCTGTCTCCCTTCCCTTTTCTCATTTCCTGCCATGTTGTTTCCCTCCCACCCTCCTTTCCTCAAATACCTACTCTACACCCATCCCTTCTATTTCTCTGTTCTCTACCTGCCCCATCTTTTATCGATCTTGTCTCCTCTTGCTTCACAGTGCAAACTCAAACGCTGTGGTTAAGCTTTTTTGTTTTAAATCCTGGCTCCACCTCTTACTAGCAGTCACTTGGACAAGTTATTTAATTTCTGTAAGCCTCAGTATCTTCATTTCTAAAACAAGGATGGTTCGTAAGGATCAAATGAAATAACATACATAAAATACTTAGCACCACACCTCGCCCATGTATATGCTTGACAAATAGTATCTTACGTTTTCCTTTTATTTATCTTCTCTGTTCCTATCCTTTCCATGTATTTTTTTTTTTTTTTTTTTGAGACAGTCTTGCTCTTTCACCCAGGCGAAAGTACAGTGGCGCAATCTCAGCACACTGCAACCTCCGCCTCCCAGGTTCAAGCAATTCTCCTGCCTCAGCCTCCTGAGCAGCTGGGATTACAGATGCATGCCACCGTGCTGGGCTAAATTTGATTTTTTGTTTTGTTTTGTTTTTATAGAGCTGGGGTTTCACCACCATGTTGGCCAGGATGGTCTCAATCTCCTGACCTCGTGATCCGCCCACCTCGGCCTCCCAAAATACTGAGATTACAGGCGTGAGCCACTGTGCCTGGCCCTAAATTTGTATTTTTATTAGAGACCGGGTTTCACCACGTTTGCCAGGCTGGTTTTGAACTCCTGACTTCGTGATCTGCCCGCCTCAGCCTCCCAAAGTGCTGGGATTACAGGCGTGAGCCATCGCACCCAGCCTTCCCTTCGCTTTATGGTGAGGAAAGTGAGACCGAGAGAGAGAGTGACTTTTCCAAGTTTACACACCGAGTTAGGAAGGGTTGAGACTAGAACTCAAACCCCTTAGTTTGAGCTTTTTCCTCAGCGATGAAATTCTCAGCCCTTGTTTCCCTTCCTGTCCTTTTCTTCTTGTTTGCTATCTCTGCTCCTCTTTTCTTTCATCCAAATGTTCTTTTCCCTCCCCTTTGCCCAACTTTTTCCTCCTCCATTGCTGTTCCTGGAATGTGTGTTCTGTGTTCCATCTTTACTCAGTTCCCCTCTTTTGTAGGAAAGACAGGCCAGGCTAGCAAGGGCCCTGTTCTCAGAGTGTGGAGTGAGCTTGACTTCCCTCCCTGTCTTTCTCCTTTTCCTTCCTTCTTCTCCCACTCCCTCTGGCCTCTTCAAGGCTATGGAACAGCGATTCTCAACCTCAGTCACTTGATTACTAACAATAAATAGTTCCATTCCAGGGCTTAAGAATGGTTTGCTTATAAGGCTGGGTGGAGTGGCTCATGCCTATAATCCCGGCACTTTGGGAGGCCAAGGTGGGAGGATTGCTAGTTTGAAACTAGCCTGGGCAATCTGGTGAGACCCAATATCCACAACAAATTAAAAAATTAGCCAGGCACAGTGGTGCACGCTGTAGTCCTGTCTACTGGGGTGGCTAAGATGGGAGGATCTCTTGAGCTAGGAAGGTTGAGGCTGTAGATCCAACTATGACTGCACCACTGCACTCCAGCCTGGGCAACAGAGTGAGGCCTGTCTCAAAAAAAGAGAATAGTTTGCTTCTGAAGTAGATTTATTTATTTTTTGAGTAGGCATCTCACTCAGTCACCCAGACTGGAGTGCTGTGGCATGATCTCGGCTCACTGCAATCTCCACCTCCCAGGTTCAAGTGATCCACCCACCTTGGCCTCCTGAAGTGCTGGGATTACAGGAATGAGCCACTGTGCCTGGCCTGGAGTAGATTTAAAATTACCCATGAGTTAGTCTCACCGTGTCACTTTCATTCTGATATGCATTGCATTTTTTTGGGTTTTTTTTGAGACAGATTCTCACTCTGTCGCCTAGGCTGGAGTGCAGTGGTACAATCTCAGCTCACTGCAATCTCCACCTCCTGGGTTCAAACAATTCTGTCTCAGCCTCCCAAGTAGCTGGGACTACAGGTGCCCACTACCATGCCTGGCTAATTTTTGTATTTTTGTGGGGAGGGATGGAGTCTCGCACTGCTGCTCAGGCTGGTGTGCAGTGGTATGATCTCAGCTCATTGCAACCTCTGCTTCCTGGGTTCAAGAGATTCTCCTGCCTCACCCTCCTGAGTAGCTGGGATTATAGGCACACGCCACAATGCCTGGCTAATTTTTGTATTTTTAGTACAGACGGGGTTTCACTGTGTTGACCAGGCTGGTCTCGAACTCCCAATCTCATGATCCACCCACCTCGGCCTCCCACAGTGCTGGGATTACAGGCGTGGGCCACTGTGTCTGGCATAATTTTTGTAATTTTTGGTAGAGACAGGGTTTCCCCATGTTGGCCAGGCTGGTCTCAAACTCCTGACTTCAGGTGATCTACCCACCTCGGGCCTCTCAAAGTGTTGGGATTACAGGCATAAGTGACTGCACCTGGCTGACTGATACACATTTTGAGTAACTGCACTCAACCCCAGCGATGCCCATGAGAATGTAAAATGTTGTCACGTTTGCTTTGAGAATGGTTGTAGCTAAAGGGGGTGGGAAGCCCCGACTAAGAGTTCTTGGAGTATACACCAAGGGGTAAGCTTCCCTCTTTTTACTTCTTTTCAGGGCGTCCCCCTGGATACCAGTAAACTGCCCACTGACCAGCGGTTGCCCCCATACCCATACAGCCCCCCAAATCTGGTTCTGCCTACCCAGCCACACACCCCAAAATCTCTACAGCAGCCAGGACTGCCTTCTCAGTCTTGCTCAGTGCAGTCATCAGGTGGGCAGCCCCCAGGCAGGCAGTCTCATTATGGGATGCTGTACCCACCTGGGCCCAGTGGGCACGGGCAACTGTCTTACCACCGGCCAGTGAGTGACTTCAACCTGGGGAATGTGAGTACTCAGGTTCCTCACTCAAAAGCAGGGGGAGGGGGTCAGGGTGGGTCATTGGGGCCTGAATGTCATCTCTGGTGCACTGTGAATGGGGAGATCTAGGCAAGGTGGGTGGTAGGGATATCTCCTCTCCCCCAGGGTAACATAGCACTGCCAGCTTTGGGCTCCTCTCTTCCTGCGTTTGACCCTACTCCCGCCCCTCTATTTCTGCTCAGCTTGCTCTTTGATGACTTCTGCCTTGACCCGTTCTCTTCCTGGCATGCACATGCTCTGGCCCAGCAGGTACGGTGCCCATACTTACTTCGGGCCCCGTGCTCGCTTCTGTCGCTCTGCTTGCTGCCACCTCCCTCTGTCATTGCCTCTGTTCCTGGGGTGGTTGAAGGTTGCTGGGCAAAGGGAGTATGTCAGCAGGGCTAGGCAGGAATACCAGTTCTAAACCCTACTTCCTCAAGATTTGTCTGTGTGTCCGTAGCTGGAGCAGTTCAGCATGGAGAGCCCATCAACCAGCCTGGTGCTGGATCCCCCTGCCTTTTCTGAAGGGCCTGGATTTTTTGGGGGTGAGGGGCCAATGGGTGGCCCCCAGGATCCCCACACCCTCAACCACCAGAACTTGACCCACTGTTCCCGCCATGGCTCAGGGCCTAACGTCATCCTCGCAGGTGAGGGGGGGTGGGTGGTGATGGGAAGTGGAAGGAGGGAATGACGTGTTCATTGATGAGCAGGAGATTGAGGGGTCTTAGAAAAGTTTACAGGGCATAGGGTCCTCACCTGTCTCTTCTACCCACAGGGGACTCCTCTCCAGGTTTTTCTAAGGAGATTGCAGCAGCCCTGGCCGGAGTGCCTGGCTTTGAGGTGTCAGCAGCAGGCTTGGAGCTAGGGCTAGGGCTAGAAGATGAGCTGCGCATGGAGCCACTGGGCCTGGAAGGGCTAAACATGCTGAGTGACCCCTGTGCCCTGCTGCCCGATCCTGCTGTGGAAGATTCATTCCGCAGTGACCGGCTCCAGTGAGGGGACCTCATCATCAACCCTCTTCGTGGTCCCATCCCCTACTACCGTTCCTTTCCTCCCTTCCCCCTGGCCAGTAGAGACTCCCAGATCCTCTTTCTAGCGTGAATGAAGGATCCCAAGAATGAGAAAAACCAAGGGGTTTGTCCAGGTGGCCCCTGAATTCTGCACAAGGGGTGGGCCTGGGGGAATTCAAGGGAGGGCCTAAAGCACTTGTAACTTTGAACCGTCTGTCTGGAGGTCAGAGCCTGTTGGAAAGCAGGGGGTAGAGGGGAACCCTGGAGGCCGGGTTTGTCCGGATGCCTAGGGGTGGGCAGTGCCAGCCCCTCCTCACCACTCTTCCCCTTGCAGTGGAGGAGAGAGCCAGAGTGGATACTATTTTTTATTAAATATATTATTATATGTTAATAAAAAAATCATATCAAACCCTTGGTGTGGTTGGTTATGATTTGGGGCATGGCTGGGGATCTAGGGAGTTCTTGGGCCATGGGTCTTTTTATCTGTTAGCTTTTTTGCATCTTCTTAGCACCACTGTGCTTTGTGGAAGGGCCCTACAGCCTTGGAATTTGTACCCAGCATGGATGTACCGTTCCATGGCAGCAGGAAATCACTTCATGTGTCATCCTGTCTGTCCAGGGCCCTGCTGCAGTTCTGAGGATGGGGACTTTGAGTGGTCAGACAAGTTCTTCTTCAACCCCAGGCCTGGCAGTGAGTCGGGGGGTGAGGAGGTGATTGCTGGCTGAGCCCACAGGTCTGAAGTGCTCCTAGGTCTCAGGGAAGCCTTCATCCCCACCCCCTCACCATGCATGAATTCACCCTCTCCACCCTTCGCCACTCATTCACTTGAGTTTTAATACAACAGATCCTTCAGTGCCCAGCATGTTGTGAAGGTTTTCTCTTTCTGGATTGGGTGACTAGCCCTTGGACCAGCAGTCTGGGCCTCTGCACTCCTCTCTCCCCCACCTAGCATTGTGAGAATAGTAGTTCCCCCCAATTACCTTACCCCCACCTCCACTGCTCTATTCCACACCCTGCAGTCCTGGCCTCTCCTCTTCCTCTTTCCAAAGCTCTTGTCATTTTCAGAAAAGAGAACTGAGAGCTGCTGGTTCTGGCCAGAAGGGAATGTTCTGTGCCCTAAACCTGGAAGTCGGGAGAGCCACCTGGGTCCCCGTAGCCTAGGCCTTTGGGGCTTCACCTTCGCCCACATCATGCATGCCACATCTGACTTCAGGACCCAGGAGGGAAGGGAGCGTACCGTGGACCTCAGGGTCGCCTGGGGTCAGTGTCCTGCGGAACGGGCTGGATGGTGGGAAGCTACCTGGGTGTAGGGGGCCCTCCCAGCCGCCAGGGGTCGGGCTGCAGGCGGCTGGGCGCTGGGCAGACGCTTGCCAGGGTCACGGCCGCCGGCCGAGGAGGGGGGGTGAGGATAGCGGCGGCGGCGCCCGCGGCCTGGAGGGGGTGTGGGGGGAGTAGAGAAAGCGGGGCGCGCTGAGGAGCGCTAGGTCCCCGGTGCCGCAGGAGCTGGGAGGACCGAGCCGCCCGAGCAAGCAGCGCGGCAGCAGTCCCCGCGTGGCGCAGCGCGGCGGGGACGCGGGGACCGCCCGGATCTCCCTCCACGGCGCCCCGCGCTCTGCTGTCCTCGGCCGCCTCTTCTTCCTTCACTCACAGCCCGGGCGGGAGCGGCGCCCAAGTCGGTTGCGCCATGTCCGGGGCCGGGTAGCCCCGCCGCCCGCCGGCCCGCCAGCTCGCCCTCCGAGCCACCCGCCAGCGGGCCGGCCGGCCGGGAAGCGCGGGGCAGGCAGGTAGGGGCTGGACCGGGCGGGGCGGCAGGCTGGGACCCACGGGAGGGAGCGCGGGCGGGGAATGGCCCCCAGCTGCTGTCCAGCGCTGCACATCTGGTTCCGGTTCCTCTCTCCTGGGGAAGTGAAAGTGGAGGGGAGGGCACCGCCCGGAGTTAGCTCGCCGTGCCCGGCCTCCTGCACCCCTCCTGCTCCCCCGGGTGCCGGAGCCGGAGCCGGAGCCGGAGCCGCCCTCCCTCCTGCTCGGGTCACGCGGCGGCCGGCGCTGCTGCCGTCACGTCCTCGGCCGCCGGCGCGCCTGCTTGTCTGTCCTCCTGCTCCTTCCTCAGCCTCCTCCTCCTCGGCGCGCCCTCTGCCCCAACCCGAACTTCCCGTCACCCGGCACGCGGGCGTGGGGACCCGGAGTGGGCCCTGTGCCGACTGCCTTCCCCAAGGAGAAAGGGCTGCTTTCTGCAGGACTCTTCCCTGGCTTGGTGAGGGGAGGCCCTGGTGCGCAGGTCCTGCGATGTGTGCCACCCACTTGCCCCTTAGAAGGTCCCACCTAATGGCCTCTACCAGCTGCCTTGGGCATAGGGCTCCCATTCGCCCGCAGTGGATGAGGGACAGATCTGTGCCCCAGAGTTAAATCAAGAGGCTGACGCTGACTCCTGGCTACACCTCCCAGAAGTGGAGTCTAAATTTAGCTGGGGTTGGTGCGTGTGTATGTGTGTGTGTCCAGCGGCCAGGTGAAGAAGAGAACCCGCCTGGCCCCACGAGATTCCTTATTCCCTGTTCTCTCGGGAACAGTGGGAGGTTAGTAGGACTGCACATCCTGGAACCATTCTGAGCCTCCTCGGCCTCGCTCAGGGTCCTCTAGTCTGAGGTTCCAACTTGGCGTGATGGTGTGCTGACACCTTCAATGGTAACCCCACCACTGCCACTGCCACTGCCACCTCACACACCCACAGGCTGACTTCCTCTGAGTTGCAGCTTCCCCTCCACTGTTTCAGGAAGTAACCTCCCTTCCCCTCTGAAGCACCCCCCACGCCTCCGGGCCCCTGCTGCAAGCTACCCACCAGGCTCTTTTCCAGCTTCTGCACCCTGGGGCGCCTCAGGACCCTTGGGGCTTCTACTCCCCCGGGTTGGGCCATGGAGGCAGGTGAGAACTAGACTGTTGTAGACTGTTGTGGGCCTGCCGGTTTCTGTCTCTCGGCTCCATGGCGGAGGGTGTGGGATGGCTGGGACTTGTCTCTTGCAGCCACTTTGGATCTAATGAGCTACCTAAGGATCCTGGAGGTGTGAGAACACTTTTTTTTTGGCCAGACTGGTGGAGTTAAGCTAGGAGAAAGGACACTTGGGTTCTTTGAAAAGACTAAAACTTTGGCTCTGTGGGCTTTCTCAGAAACCTTAGAAACCTCAGAGTGGGCTCTTTAAGAACATTGGCAGGATCACAAGGTTCTTATGGTGTCAAAACTGGAGTAGGGAGGTCAGAAACCCTTAAAAAAAACTGTCAGGTTGGTATGATGTCATGACCAGCATGAATGATGTCATGGAAGGCTATTACAGACATTGTGATCTCTGTGATGTTATAACTGGTTAGCCTTTAAAAGGGACACATGGACAATGTGATGTCAAAGCCCAGGTTAGCTGTGTGTGGTGGAGTCGAGGTTCTTTGAGGAGAACGCCAGGACCACTAGGCGGGAGGGACCTGGTCTCTTTAAGAAGCTGTGGTGGGCAGTGAGAGCCTGGTGATGTCACAGGCGGGAGAGTTCAGGATTGGCCGACCCCTTATCCTTCCTTTCTTTGGAAGGACTAGGAAGAGGAGGGGAGCAAGAGGGCACCCTGGTTGCCATGGAATCCCCAGCCTTCCTTGCTTCATCTCTCTTCCACTTGACCATTCCAGATGCAGTGAGTGAGGGGGGGGCCATGGCGGAGGAGCGGCCCCCCCGGCTGGTGGATTACTTCGTGGTAGCTGGGCTTGCAGGGAACGGAGCACCCATCCCTGAGGAAACGTGGGTTCCCGAACCCAGTGGGCCCCTGCGCCCTCCCCGGCCAGCTGAGCCCATCACAGATGTGGCAGTCATCGCTAGGGCACTGGGCGAGGAGGTGCCCCAGGGCTACACGTGCATCCAGGCTTCCGCCGGGGGCCACCCCTTGGAACTCAGTGCTGGGCTTCTGGGTGGAACTCAACCCGTCATCTGCTACCGCAGGGGTCGTGACAAGCCCCCCCTCGTTGAGCTGGGGTGGGTGCCCCTACCCATCCTGGCACCAAGGGAGGCTGGGAGGGACTCCAGTGAGATAGGGAGAGGTAGGACTATGGAACAGGGAAGGGCAGTGGAGATGGGAGCTGGGTGGGCCAGAGGCCGGGTAGGAAGGACTGAAGTTGTATGTACTTAGTCCTCACAGATTCGAATTCATGTGCTAGTGCTGCTCCTTGCTAGCTCTGAGAGCTTAGGCAGGTTTTTGAGCCCCTCTGGCCTGTTTTCCTCATCTGTCAATTGGGGAAAATAATTCATCCTCTTAGGATGATCGAGATTAAATGAGATAACCCATGTGACAGACTTAGCACAGAGTCAGTCAGTGATAGCTTGTATTCCTTTTTTTTTTTTTTTTTTTTTTTTTTTTTTGAGATGGAGTCTCGCTCTGTCACCAGGCTGGAGTGCAATGGCGTGGTCTTGGCTCACTGCAACCTCCATCTCCCGGGTTCAAGTGATTCTCCTGCCTCAGCCTCCCAAGTAGCTGGGACTACAGGTGTGTGCCCCCACACCCAGCTAATTTTTGTATTTTTAGTAGAGATGGTGTTTTACTATGTTGGCCAGGCTGGTCTTGAACTCCTTATCTTGTGATCTGTCCGCCTTAGCCTCCCAAAGTGCTGGGATTACAGGCATAAGCTACAGTACCCCATCTTGTTTATTTTTATTTTTATTTTTTAAAATTGTATTTATTTATTTATTTTTTAAGACGGAGTTTCGCTCGTTACCCAGGCTGGAGTGCAATGGCGCGATCTTGGCTTACCGCAACCTCCGCCTCCTGGGTTCAGGCAATTCTCCTGCCTCAGCCTCCTGAGTAGCTGGGATTACAGGCACGCACCACCATGCCCAGCTAATTTTTTGTATTTTTAGTAGAGACGGGGTTTCACCATGTTGACCAGGATGGTCTCGATCTCTTGACCTCGTGATCCACCCGCCTCGGCCTCCCAAAGTGCTGGGATTACAGGCTTGAGCCACCGCGCCCGGCTATTTATTTATTTTTTAAGACGGAGTTTTACCTTGTTGGCCAGGCTGGTCTTGAACTCCTGACCTCAGGTGATCCGCCCACCTCGGCCTCCCAAAGTGCTGAGATTACAGGCGTGAGCCACTGCACTTGGCCTATTTTTATTTTTTTTAGACAGAGTCTCACTTTGTTGCCCAGGTTGGAGTGCAGTGGCACAATCTCAGCTCACTGCAACCTCTGTTTCCCAGGTGCAAACGATTCTCCTGCTTCAGCCTCCTGAGTAGCTGGGACTACAGCCACGAGCCACCATGCCCAGCTAATTTTTGTATTTTTAGTAAAGACAGGGTTTCACCAGGTTGGCTAGGCTAGTTTTGAACGGCTGACCTCAGGTGATCCACCTGTCTCTGCCTCCCAAAGTGCTGGGATTACAGGCATGAATCACCGTGCCCAGCTGATTCTTAGTGTTTATTAATGAGAGCCATAGAAGGCATGCAAGGTTGTTACTCACCACGAAATAAGGCCAAAGGCATAAGAGAGGGCACAGGATTCTGAAGGACAGAGTTCAGCAGGAAGAGGTGGGCCCTGGTGTTAGAGTTTGATAAGGCTGCGGGTGCAAGGTGGGTTTAGGGGGCTAGGTAGGCAGATGTGGCCGGATTGGGTCTTTGTCCTCTACCCCGACCTCCCGACATCTCTCTCTGCTCTCTGTGCTAAGGGTGTTGTATGAGGGGAAGGAACGTCCCAAGCCCGGCTTCCATGTGCTTGACACGACACCCTACAGCCACTCAGCAAACCTGGCCCCTCCAGGCCCCGGGCACCCCCGCACCTACCTCACTTACCGGCGGGCAGCAGAGGGGGCAGGGCTGCATGCCCTAGGCATCACTGACCTCTGCCTGGTGCTGCCCAGTAAGGGCGAGGGCACTCCTCATACTTACTGCCGGCTGCCCCGCAACCTCAACCCTGGCATGGTGAGTGGGACCAAGAGTTCATACCTGGACCCTCTTGGTGTCAGGGTGGGTATGGACACTGGGAACAAAGGGCATCCCAGGACCAAGGCTCTGACCACAGGGGTGGGTCCAGAGGGGTAACTCTGGTCTTGGGGCACTGGGATTAATGGGAGCTTTAAAGACAAAAGAACATTTAGGTATGGTAGAGAGAAAATGGCCCCCAGAAACCTGTGTTAGCTGTGTGTCTGCTTGTCTCTTACCATTTCTGGGGTAGTGGGGCCCAGCAGTGTACCTGTGCTATAAGGTGGGCCTGGCGAAGGCCAACACGCTGGTGTACGAGGCAGGTGAGTGGCCCCTTTATCCCTCCAGTCCTGTGACCCTACATCCCTTTGCCCTGGTGCCTCTTGGCAGGCACCTTAAGTGTCCCTGGAATTGACTTCCCCTTTGCGAGTTGGGCCTTCTCTGGGATCCCCTGGTTTCTTTCCCTTGGAGTCTGATGGACCCTGCTCCTCTTGGGTACCCCCAACTCTGCTGGGGGTGCAGAGCTGCTGGGCCGCTACCCGGAGGAGGACAATGAGGCGTTCCCGCTGCCCGAGTCAGTGCCCGTCTTCTGCCTGCCCATGGGGGCCACTATCGAGTGCTGGCCTACCCAGACCAAGTACCCCGTGCCCGTCTTCTCCACCTTTGTGCTCACGGGTGCAGCTGGTGATAAGGTGGGTGTGTGGAGTGTGGCAAGGGGTCTGGGCTATGCAGGGCCTGCCTGACCACCCCTCTGCCCCCTGCCAGGTGTATGGTGCCGCCCTGCAGTTCTACGAGGCGTTCCCGAGGGCCAGGCTGTCAGAGCGGCAGGCACGGGCACTGGGCCTGCTGAGCGCCGTGGAGCGGGGCCGGGCACTGGGGGGCAGAGATGTGCGCAGCCGGCGCGCCATCGCTGTACTGTCCCGCTGGCCTGCCTTCCCTGCCTTCCGCGCCTTCCTTACCTTCCTTTACCGCTACTCCGTCTCAGGCCCCCACCGCCTGCCCTTGGAAGCGTGAGCGTGGCTCCTGTACTATTGGGAAGGGGTTAGGAAGGAATAAGGGGGCCAGGAAAGATGGGAGAGATTCAGATGTGGGTGAGGGGAGGGCTGGGCCCGGGGTAAGGGACAGGGCTGCCGTACATGGTTGTACCGCTCGTCCATTGCAAAAATTGCAATGGACTGAGGAGGGGAGCAGCGCCTGAAATCCAGTCTCAACTTTCTAGTTAGGTCCTGCCAAGGGACTGTGTATGCCCAGGGAGGATCTCTTTTCTGATCTGCACAAATTATATGCATAATGGAGCCTCCATTGGCTGACACAGGTCTCAAAGTGGGGTTCAGGAAGGAATAAGGTTCTTTAGAACAGGTGGAAGAGCTGAGAAGAGGTGGAGGTAGGACAGGGCTGGACTGGGGAGTGTGCTCTGACCTGTGTTTCTGTCCCCCAGGCACATCTCCCACTTCATTCACAACGTCCCCTTCCCTTCCCCACAGAGACCCCGCATCCTAGTGCAGGTGAGAGCTGCGGCTGGGGCTGGGCTGAGGGAAGGAGGGGGGTTGGCATCATTACCCTGAGCCGTGTCTTCTTCCCTCCCAGATGTCTCCCCATGACAACCTGCTCCTCTGTCAGCCGGTATCCTCACCCCTGCCCCTCAGGTATGTGCTCAGGTTGTGGGGAGGGAGCGTTAATGACCGAGGACATGGTAGGTGCCGGGCAGGTGGGTGTGGCTGCTGAGGTTGATGCAAGCTGGGTCCAGGTGGTAGCTGTGCCTGGCATCTGGGGAAGGTCTCCAGGGTCTCCTGGTGACCATTTCCCCACCTTGGGATTGCCTGCAGTGGTGCCAGCTTCCTGCAGCTGCTGCAGAGCCTGGGCCCTGAGCTGGCTATCACACTGCTGCTGGCTGTGCTCACAGAGCATAAGCTGCTGGTCCACTCGCTGCGGCCAGACCTGCTCACCAGCGTCTGTGAGGCCCTCGTCTCGGTGAGTGCCGCCCTGCCTGGCCCACCTTCCCTAGAACTATGGTTCTTTCTGGTGCCCCTATCCCTGCCTGGACTCTTCCTTTTTCCTTCCTTGGGGAGGATCCTCAGCCCCTTTTCCTGGGCACAGCCTGCAGGGATGCATAGCTTCCATCAGGGGCTCTTCTCTAGAGCCTACTTCCAACAGCCTGTCTCAGCAGGCACCAACTCACCAAGGCCAATGCCCTCTCTCTCTCTTCTGTGCCCCCAACTGCTGCCTCAACCGCCTGCTCACTGGTTGTCACTGCCTGGTGCTTCAGATGATCTTCCCACTGCACTGGCAGTGCCCCTACATTCCGCTGTGCCCGCTGGTACTGGCAGATGTGCTGAGTGCCCCCGTGCCATTCATTGTGGGTATCCACTCCAGCTACTTTGATTTGCATGACCCTCCTGCTGATGTCATCTGTGTTGACCTTGATACCAACACGCTCTTCCAGTAAGAGGCTGGGTCTCATTTGGCGACTGCTGGGTGGTGGGCAGGAATGGGCTGGTGTGTGGAGCGCTACGGGCTCAAAAGGAGCTTCAGGCACAAAGTAGGGGAGGCTGGCAAGGAGCCCCGTCACCCTTTCCCCAGAGCCTTGCCACTCCTTCCCCTTATGCTTCTCTCACAGGACTGAGGAAAAGAAGCTCCTCTCCCCTCGGATCCTGCCCCGCAGACCCTACAAGGTTCTGCTGGCCACACTGACAAACCTGTACCAGCAGCTGGACCAGAGTGAGAAGCCTGGGTGGGGAGGGAGGCAGGGAACTGTCCTTGGCCTCAAACCTCTGTGAGGAGCTAGGCATTTCTTGAGGAAGTGAGCAGAGTCAGGATTGCATTTCGTGGCCGGGCGTGGTGGCTCACGCTTGCAATCCAAGCACTTTGGAGGCCAAGGCGGGCAGATCACCTGAGGTCGGGAGTTCAA